AAAAAATATGATAGGAGATCACTTCCCGGAGAGGAAAAAGGGAGAAAGAAGGGCCCCCCCCCCCCCCAAATCAAAGCAGTCAGAACATCAGAGGGAATGGTAAAAGTGGGCTTTGGCCAGGTTTCTAGGTAGTAGGTACAAGTGATTCCAGCAGGCTGAGGTAAAGTTATTGCTAACACACAGACTTGATGGGGCCAGGGAAGGGGCTTTCTAACTGTGCTCCTTGTACTTGGCATCCCTGAAGGGGAAGAGGCTCTTGGATGGCACCTGTAATGTTTTAGTTACTGAAATGGGAAGCTGTGGGGACCCCACATTGACTGACTTTCAGGCCAGAGGGCAGAGGGTGCAGAAAATGAGGAGGCCTGTGTTGCAGCAGCCCCAACATCAAGCATGTTATTCACTGCCCTGCCACTGCCACCTCCCTCCCTAGCTGCCCCTGGGCCAAGGCTCCCACTGTCCCTATTAGAGCCTGCATGGAAATGCTGTACTCATCCCATTCTCCCTTTTGTGGTCCCCACCCTCACTAGCTGCCTGTAGCTCTCGGGAGTGGGGTGCTGTGCTGGCAGTGCTCGAGACTTGGCCTGCAGCTTCCTCTGCAGTGGCTAAACAGGCAAGGTGATGCTGTGGAGGGAAAAGCCAGCACAGCAGCGACCTCCAGGCAGTGTTCACAACACTGGGGAGTGAAGGGTCCTCGGGCCTCTCTGCCTACTAACACCTGGGCTTGTCACTGGGGCAAAAAAACTCTATGAACCCCAGCAACAAAAAAACTAGTCCTCTTAGAATTTCTTGCGCTTTGATTTTTTTAAGGGCTTGTGCCCTGTCTCACTTATAGGGTCTAGAATGCTTCTGTTGAGTAAAAAGGAGATGCCCCAATATTCAAAGCTGCTAAATGTTCTCTTTGCCATAAAGACTCCGTGTAACTGTGTGAACACTTGGGATTTTTCTCCTCTGTCCCGAGGTCTTGTCTGTTTTCTTTTTTGGGTTTCTTTCTAGGAGAATGAGAAGTGCATGTATTGGGCTGGAGACTACCCTCCCCCAGGTTTTCAGCCTCAGGCAGCTTCTCCACAGCCTGGGCTCCTGGAGGACAGCCTTGGGGGAGGCAGTGAGCATGCAGCCCCAAGGTGGCTGGATGGTTCCAGGACCAGTGTCTTTATTTGTAACTTTGCCACTGCCACCCCATCCCCAGTCAGCTCTGGAGTACTATTATCTGCCCCAGATTAGCAGGAGTGAATAGAGGGAAGCACTGATTTTACCTTGTGCAGGGAGAGGGGTTTCCTAACTGAGCAGTAGGGATAGAAGCGTGAGCCTGGGAGTGCTTTTTATAAATTATTTTCCTTGTAGATTTTATTTTTAATTTATCTCTGTGACCTGCCAGGGAGAGGAGAGAAAGAAATGCCGTGAGCACATGACAAAATAAAATAAAATAAAATGGATAATTCTGCTCAAGTGCAGTTTTTTCCCCCACTTTGAATTCAAATTGAGAGTAAAGGAAACAGACCTTGTAGGGAAGATTGGCTGTTGTGTGGCTAAGGTCAGAGTTCCCAATGGGAAGGTGGGTAGAGGCTGACCCAGGGAAACTTAAAATTTAGTCTTGGATACTGATTGCATTGAACCCCCCATGCAGGTGGCATGCACTTCCTGGTTTGCCAGGTTCCTCTCAAAGGAAGGATTCTGAAATCTTTGGTTTTCTTTCTTGAAGAGCTAGGATGGATGTAGGTGGTGTCAGCTCTCCTACCTGTCAAACTGCATCATTTTTAAGCCTGACAGTGTTGTTAATTGCTAGAGAGGTACAGAGCACTGGACTGGGCATGATTTGAAAACCTGAGAAGTCAGTAGAACCTACTGATAATGATGAACACAACCATGCACCCAGAACAGGGTCCCAGAACAAAAGCAGGAAGCCTGGCCCCAACGCTCATGAGGACATTCTGGAGAACCCCCAGTCCAGGTAACTGGTTCCAACAACTAATCAAGTCCCAAAGCCTGTGAAAAGCTACAAAGCTTTAAGCTTCTGTTGGTGGAAACTGGAACCCCTGCAGACCCACATGGGGGTAGAGAGGGATGCTTAAATGTGGCCGGCAGTAGAGGCTTGCATGGTAGTCTTAATTTTATTTTTATTTTTTATTTTTGGTGTTTTTGAGACAGGTCTCCCTGTAGTCCCAGCTGGCCTCTCAAGTGCTGGGATTAAAGGTGTGAGCTACCATGCTCCACACTGGTAGTCTTCTGAAATGACTGGCAAAGTTTACTACAACCTGTGACCTTGAGCTCAGGTACCCATCAGTGTGTAACGAGGCTTAGTTTAGTCACTTAATGATACTACTATTCTGAGGTTTGTGGAGAATTCAACATTGACTGCTTGCTTCAATTTATACCCCCCCCCCAACCTCTAGTTAGAAAGACAGGGTCATAGCAAATAAGATTTTTACTAATTAGGAATTAATGGCCATAAACTAGGTAAAATTAAATTTCATTCTTTGAGACAGAGTCTCTGTAGCCCAGGCTGGTCTTGAACACTGTAGCCAAAGGTGGAGCTTGGCCTTGAACTCCTGGTCCTCCTGCCTCTGTCTCCCAAGTGCTGGGATTATTGGTGAGTACCACTTTGCCCAGCTGTTTCTTAGAAAGGGGAAACAGCTGGAGACCTGGCTCAGTGGTTAACAGCACTGACTGTTCTTGCAGAGGACCCAGGTTTGATTCCCAGCACCCACATGGTGGCTATGAACCATCCTTAACTCCAGTTACAGGGGAATCTGAAGCCCTCTTCTGACCTCTGCAGCGTTGCACGACACGAGTGCACTCACATACATGCAGACAATACATTCGTACACATAAAATTAGTATTTTAAAAAGGGGGAAACAATTGAGGGGCTGGAGAGATGGCTCAGTGGTTAAGAACACTGACTGTTCTTGCAGAAGACCCGGGTTCAATTCCCAGCACCCACATGGCAGCTAACAACTGTACCTCCAGTTCTAGGGGATCCAACAGCCTCTTCTGTCTTCCTCAGGCATTACACAACATGGGTGCACTTAACATACATGACATACATACAATATACACATAAAAAATATTAAATTTTTTAAGTTGATTCTGATCATTTAAAAACAAATTATAAAAGGGCAAGTTTTAGGGTGTTTTTTTTGGGTGTGTGTGTATGTGTGTGTTGAGAGAGAGAGACTGTAAGGCTGGCCTTGAAATTGTGATGATTCTGCCTGTCTCCAAGTGGCTAGAATCACAGGTATGGGCCACCACATCTGTTTACCTCCTCACTGGTGATGTTCCTTATCTGAGTCCTTGTCTGAGTAGGTATATTTTTTATTACCTTTCTGCCCCCTAGAGATTCTTTGCAGGATCTTGCTGATTAATTGGGGGTTGGGCTAAATTGGTCAGCGGTGCTATGGACTTGACCTCTTTTTGCTACTGGCAGGAATCAGGCCTGTGATAATACTGCCAACTAACCCTAAGATGCAGCAGGGAGAGGTCCTGGCACCAGGGAGAAGAGTGGGCTTTTGTTTTGACCACCCACCTCTGTGACCTTGAGTAGGTGTGGGAAAACTTACTTTGTCTTGACTCAGCAGTCAGTCCCTAAACTTCATTCAAAAGGTTTTTCCATGTCTCACTCTTATAAGGAGATAGAGACTGACTGACCCACTGTATCACACTGCCCAGCATGGCTCTCCCTAGTGAAGCTGGAACTATTTCAGTATCAATGGAAAAAAAACAAAACAAAACAACAAAAACTAGCCAGTTGTGGCACATGTGGTTAATCCCAGCACTCAGGAGGCAGATGGATCTCTGAGACCCAGGCTAGCCTGGTCTACATAGTGACTTCTAGTCCAGCTGGAGCCTACAGGAAACCGTCTCAAAAAAATAAAACTAGCTACCATTCATGTATGGTGAATGCACACCTGTAATCCCAGGGCTTGCTTGAGCAGCTAAGGCAGGAGGATTTTAACTTTTCAGGCTAGCCTGAACTAGTGAGTCCCTGTCAGGGACTAGTGATAGACATTATTCACTATCAAGACTTGTTTCTGAAGCTCTGCTTTCCTCAGGCTGACTTCATCCCTGCTTTTATAACCTGTACCTAAACCAGACTGCTGTGCTTCATCCAGGCTTGCCTGACAATTGTATGGACTAGTAAGTGCTTTATGGAAACAATCATGTCCCCACTAACCTCAAGACTCTGGCCTCATCCTCCCAGTACTGATCAAAGGCAACAGCTTCAGAAGCTCAGACTAAGGTAGTTTTAAGGAACTACCAGGTGCAAAGGGGGAGAGAAGTCTGTTCCCACAATGATGGGATCCACATACAAACTGGTACTAACTAGACTGGTGTCTGCCTCTTCGGAACTGACTTTTTCAGATGGATTAGACATTTTTAGATTTTTAGACAATGTCTTGCTATGTAGCCCAGGATGGCCTGCAACTCATGTCAGTCCTGCTAGGATTACAGGTATGTACTATCACTTCTAGCCAGGTGTGGAAATTCTGTAGCAGAATCTATATGCCTGTCATTTTAAGCCATTTTCCTGTCACTGACCCATTTGTTAAATCAGAAGTCTCCACAAACAGTTACTTTATGAGTGCAGTATAAACCAATACCTTCACACCTTTCCTTTCTCCCAAAAGTCATCATACTTTTGAACTCTGTAGTGGGGAGTATTTGGGGACCCTGTGGGTATATGAGTGCTAGTTCTTGTTCTGTCTAGAGCTGCTTTGAAATCTGCCTGGACTAGTTGAAAAAAAACCTAGAGCACAAATTCTCTCCAGAATAACAACATGGAACTTGCTAAAATTTTTAAAAACTTATTCAATTAAAAAATTTTAGAGTGTATTGCCTGCATGTATCTAGGTGCAATGTGCAGTGCCCACAGAGGCCAGAAAACAACGTTGGATCCCCTGGAACTGG